CACTCGTCTGGGAGTAACTTACCTGTTACTCACATTCTACTCCTTCTGCATTTAATTAACTTATCCATAACACTCTGACCTTCAATGCCTTATCTGCTAGCTTATAACCGTTGGGATGCGTTCGTCTTCTTTTATCCGGCCGGACTACTTCGTATCCCACACACTCATCGAGCTGCCAACTTCCTCCAACCTATTCTCAACAGAATACACTATTCCTCCCACCTAACGCCATACTTTTTATTCTCTTCCCACACGGAACCAGATCTGAAGATCGCAGCGACCAGGGTCTTCCCTATTAACTTAACCCACTGTGGTCACCCCCTTCTGACCTGTGCACTCTGACAGAAAAATGTGTAGCCAGCTCTTCTTCTTACGCAGTTAAATATGCTGCAGTGTATGCCACCCCCTCCCCCGTAGGGTTAGGACAGAGCGTGACAAATGCCGACTAAGGTCACGGACAGGTTTTCACCTTCTCTTTTTCATGACTGACTGCCCTTCAGCTTATTACGTTTAAGCCACGCCAGACACTTTTTAAGGCTGGTCACAAAGGACCTTGTTGCGGTAACTGTCTGCGCTCCGGCGACCTCACTGCCGGACTGTGACTCTGGACTCGACCCGCTCATGGCTGGACTGCACTTATGCGGGAGTCAATTACCCATTACTCATACTCTACTCATTCTACACTTAATTAAGTTATTCATAACACCCTGGCCTTCCACACCTTAGCTTCTTATGTACCGGGTTGTAACCGTTGGCATAGGTCTGCCGTTTAGTACCCGACCGAACTACTTCCTATCCCACAAGTGTTCTTTTAAAGAAATAATTTGGCAAGTCAATTTTTTTCAAACAATTCCCCATTCCATCGTCAAAGTCGTCAACTCACTGAGGTCACTTGGCTTTGGATGGGGTTTCTGACCGTTCAACGGCGCAGGCACCTTTTCGATCCACTGTCCGATGTAATTGCCTGGCGGTTTGTACTGTGCAACCACAACTTTAATGGTCCCATCTGGCGTCGAGGCCACAGCGAAGCCAGCCCGCTTGGTGTCCGTCCATATGCATTGCGAAAAGTGACCTTCAAGGCACAGTAAAAATCTTACTCAAAATTTGGGCAAATCAAATAAAACAGGCGTGTGTTGATGAACGATCACCGGCCCGCTAACGGAATTCATCTGTCCCGCTCTGCCTTGGGTCTTGCTAGAGGTCCTCACATCCGTAACAGCTGGTCATGTAGGCAGATAGTATTGCCGAAATTCTCGCAAGAGGTGATAATCATGTGAGCCGAGAATCAATTGAGTCATGATTCACAGGTGCCCAGTCCATAAACAGGTCCAATGACTTGCTCAATACATATTCTGTGCTGAGGCTCAATTTGGTCAGAAACTTACAGTTACCAGGGGCCCAAACCTTGACCGTTAACATACTCCTAACCCTAACATTAACCCTCAACTTAGCCGCCAACCTAATTTCCCGAGAATTTGGTGCAAAGTCACATGTATTGTGGACAGTCCTTTGTAGGCGGTCCATCCCTGGCCTCTGACTCACGCAACGTTCAATTGGAGTTTGCTAGATGCACTTTGATATGCAGCGACTAAGCAACAAACAGCACCAGTGTTTGCTATCCAAGAGACAAAGTTGATCCGTTTAGCCGTGAACCTTGATGGAGAGGAAGGTTGGTGTGGTTTGGTTAGGATAGCCCGCCTAGGTACCTCGCAGGCCCACTGAAGTACACCTACACAAGACCTCAGCGTTACCAAAATCAATATACAAGAATGATTGGGGCCAGAGCTTTTGCTTACCGCATGGCAACTGAACATCTTGGTTGAAATCGTAGTCTGCTACCTCTGCGTACCAGGCTTGGGTGGCCTCCGCGCCTAAAATGATCAAAGTTGTTCCGTTTTTAAGGACGTATTGAAATAGTGTTTCCCAAACGAATTTAGTTTTGAGAAAAAATAAATGGTATATTTTATTTCCTGAAGGTACAGCGTTTAGTTTTGGCCGATAGGTTTTCCGGCTCATTAGCCGTCACCAGCCAGCCATACCCAATCCTAAGTGGTGCTCCACCCGGGTCTCTGACCCGCGACCTTTTGATCAGACGTCTAACGCTCTAAACACGGAGACACGGATTCAATGCTTGCCGGTCTAGATCGGGAGATATTGACACTCGTTATGGAACAATGATTATGCTACCTGGCTAGAGTACTGACCACTGTTCAGCTACTGGCGGAGCTAGAGAATGAGCGGGACGAGTGAGTTTCGTTAGCGATCTGTGAATGCACACTAACGAGTGTCAGAGTTTACTTTGTTATTATTTTACCGACAGCACAGACCAGATCACGAAGCTTTTCGGCCTATTTGGGCCTCATCAGGTGATAG